TAGGAATCTTGTCACGCTAGATCAATTACAACCGAGTTCGATCCTCACTGGGGAAACTTTCGACCGTTTCCCACAACGAAGCTACGCTAAGCAAATCACTATGGTAATCACGAAATTATTCGACAAGGGATGAGATGCAAGAGGAAACAGGGAATAACTTACCTACGAAGTGTCTGTAAATTGATGCTAGAGCAGTGGCAGACGTTACTTGTCGCCACAAAGGGCAGAGAGGCCGTGGTGAGACATGATCACTCACAATCTGAAGAGACACGTCACATGAAAATTTTGATTATGTGTATTGCCTCGTTACTATAAAATACAGTAATAGATTAACAAAGATGCTTTGTAGTCCACCTCCAGTTAGTCATGAAAATAACACTGATGCTGCTCAAATTCAGAAAGAAGGATGATACGAAAAAACTGGTGGAAGAATCTGAATACGCTGGGCGACATTTTCCTTATTCAACATGGCTGCAGAGGCTACATAGGTTAGATCCTGCGGAGATGGCTGGTATCAGAAATTAAGCCAAACCCTAAAGAGTATCCAAGCAGCAACAGAGAAAGGCAAGCAATTGGATCTGGTTGAAAAGAAATGAGGAAATCTGGCTAGAGAAATAGTACCTTGAAAATATCAAAGTAGCTGACAGGTATTAAACCAGTCGAGTCAAGTGGTGGGTCCTCCCATCTGTATGAGGCGTTTGCATAGTAAAATCCCCCAAGTAGGACTCGGCGAGCATTCTCTTCTGATGACCCCAAGAACCACTTTGATTTGGTACATGTAATATTCCACTGGCAGCACTTATAGCAGCAAGCTGTTCTCAAATTCCTGTTTGCAAATTTCATTGAGATGGAAGAAATGCTTACTTTTTTTTAAGATATCGTAATCTAGTACATGTTTTAGGATTGTGCCATTCCCATTCCATCGTATTTTTAGGAGTAAATGTAATTTAGTATCAATTTGTTGATTTCAAGGATGGAGGAGAACTTTGAGTTATTGAGTATGAATTTTTTAAGTTTAAAAAAATATGGCGTCATTCTGAGACTGCAATATTTTACAGTAGCGTTTAAGAGAATTAAATCTTTTGGTGACACGCAGAGTGCTTATGTGGGTCATATCGTTTATCAGTTCCAAATTCTTTCTGCCACATATAAGGACTGGTCGATCATGTCATTCGTGTTTTTTTTTCTTTTTTTTTTTTTTTTTTTTTTTTGAGCCTGCTAATATCATCAAAGAACGTTGCCTTCATATTTTAATTTTTTAAAAAAATTCGAATTGAATCAAATAAAGAACAAATCTCAGAAGGCCGGAAAAAGAGACGAGACCAAAATCAATTTCTTCTTTTTAATTGATTAATTAATTAATGAGACTTGAAGTAAAAAAATGACAACGTTCTACAGAATGATGCCAAGACATAACATGAGTAACGAGGAAGTTTTAAGAAAATAAAATGTCAGCAAGACGGACATTGGTATTTAGAATCAGAATGACGTAACCGAATTTTCTAGAAAACATAATGAGGAAAGACGCATGGAGAATTTAACACACACACACAGGACATATGGAAGACAATAGAGGCAGAGAATAAGCTACCCAACGATTTTTATGCAAATGTCAGAACAATGATTGTGAATTATGGTAAGGGTTAAAACATTGGTTAATAATGCCAAGGATGGGAAGTTAGGAAGAGCCATAATCATGAATGCCTTGAGAAAACAAGCAAATTAAAAAAAGAAAAAGAATTAATTTATTAAATATATTTGGCTTATTAATTATGTAAAAGTTATATTTCAATTCTAATTAACACATAAGTAATTAAGATTTTGTATATATTCTTGCCACAACAAACAATTTTGCTCTCATAATTTTAATATTGCTATGAAATTACACCGTTCAAATGGAACAAAGGTTTAAGCTGCTATATTGCCCAGAATTAATCTAGCTTTTCCGTTCCTTTTATATTTTCAAGTTATTGCATATCTTGAATGATTATGCATTCCCTCCGAAGATATGAATATTGACTTCTCTCCTGCCAAATTCTGAACACTATTCTCTGTTTAGTAATTAAATGTGGGATATTATTAAAACAAAGTAATAACGGATTGATCTAATCCATATATTGGGCAAACGCCCTTGGTGCAATGTTGCAAATAAATATTTGATTGACAAGCCAAACTTAATCAAGTACTGGATACAAATAACACCTTAGAGTCAAATGATCTCTCTTGCAAAGGAGTTCAAGGCAAGCGCGTAAGGCTTTGCTGCACAGGGAAGAAAGTGTTACACAAAAATAGCTTAAAATATGCATTGGCATAGAGAAAGTGCATTCCAAAAGCTAAGCAAAGTATTAATAAATAGAAAAAAAAAATCACACTATTTACATTATTCCGACTATTGTCCTCATCATTGTCTCCATATTTATTACAACGTTTCGTCTCTTGTATGCTCCGGCCTTCTTCAGATGGTTGGAATGTCGAACTGAACCCTTTATTTCGCTCGCTGTGGTAGATTGTTCTAGTTCCACGTGGGATGTTTAATGGATGTCAGTTATCTCCTGTTAATTCCACTCTCCAATTTCACCTTAACCGGGTATTGAACTC